TCAATTCCCACCGGAGTCCCACCGTTCTGACAGTCCCTGGAGGCGTTATAGGATTCACACAGGTCGCCATAGTAACCCGGTGGGCAGATGCATTTGGTACCAACGGGAGTGCTGCCATTCTGGCAGGCCTTGCTGGCATCATGGGAGGCGCACACGGGGCCGGAGAAACCAGGGACGCAGATGCACCTGATCCCATTGTATGTGCCACCATGCTGGCAGGAAACTGAAAGGAAGAAACATCCACCGTGAGTGTTAGTGAGAGCCAGGAAAGTCTATCTCAGTGATACACACCTCCTCCCAGAGACAGGGGTAGAACCCAGGAGTCCTGGCTCCCAGGCCCCCCTGCTCTCACCCACCATCCCCTACTCCCCTCCCAGAGCCGGGGAGAGAACCCAGGAGTCCTGGCTCCCAGCCCCCCCTCTAACTAGTAGGCCTCAGTCTCCTAGTCTCAAGTCAGACTCCTTAAGCTTCTATACACTAAAGATATTTGCCCCAGTGTAAGGTATTTGGGTCTTGTTTCAGTGAAGTGCATCTACATTAGGAATCTGCACCAAGTCCACTACACTAATCTGCTTCTACCAGTGGAAATTTCTCGAACGTAAACAGGGTCTTAAACTCAGGGTTGGGATCTGATGTCAATTACAGCACTGTAGCAGCTCTGAAATTGGAGAAATTCACTCCCAATTTTACCCCTGATGTAAATAAGATTATTCAGACCAGTGGGCCTCAGAAGGGACTCTCAGCATTGGGTCTGACCTCCTGTATAAAAGTGGCCAGAGAATTTCACCTTGGACTAATGCATCTTCTACAGTGGCATCCAAACTGAATTGGACAACATCAACAGACAGTTTCTCCACCAATGCTCTTGGGAGACTGTTTCAATGGTTCATTAACCTAATTTTTAAACATTTGTGCCAAATATCCAGGTTTAATTTGTCTGGCTTGAGCTGTAGGCAGCTAAAGTGCTGGTCAAAAAAAATTCTGTAAAAACTGAACTTTTCGGCCAGGAAATGTCTTTTTTCATAGAAATTTTTCACCAGCCCTCTTTCAAGCGTTCATCAATGAGGAGTTACACTGCATTGAAACAAGCTAGAGGTTAAACTGGTTGAAGTCTGCTAAAGCGTGACTCCATATTTACAAGAGTCAGATGCTACATTGGACGCAGACCCGGGAAGAGTCATTCTGTAGTCACGTCAGAGAAGACTTACTCCATATTTATCAATCAGGAGTTAAAATGGATTATGATCAGGGAAGAGTAACTCCATATTTACATAAGGGAAGAGTTATGCATGGCTCATACCAGCACAGTTAAAAAACGTGCATTGCTGGGGACTTTGATGGTTTTCCACAGTGACGACCCAGAGTACAAGAAGGTCACATCAGCAATAGCCCAATCCATAAGCCATGTGAAGACTCACCTGGGGTAGTACTGCCCCAGTTCGGGGTACTCCAGTCCTGAGTAGGAACGACGCACATAGTTGGGACAAAACAGGTAGAAGTGACAGGACATGTGCTGATTGGGGTAGTGGACGGCCATGTGGAAGGGCTGGTAACTGTGCAGTTAGGGGGCACAGAGGTTGTGGTGGAAGGGGAGGAGGAGGGAGCTGTGCCGGTGGGGGTGGAGGAGGTGGTGGCCGTGCTGGTGGGGGTGGAGGTGGCGGAGGTGGTGGTCGTGCTGGTGGGGGTGGAGGTGGAGGAGGTGGTGGCCGTGCTGGTGGGGGTGGAGGAGGAGGAGGTGGTGGCCGTGCTGGTGGAGGTGGAGGTGGAGGAGGTGGTGGCCGTGCTGGTGGGGGGTGGCGGTGGAGGAGGTGGTGGCCGTGCTGGTGGGGGGTGGAGGAGGAGGAGGTGGTGGCCGTGCTGGTGGAGGTGGAGGTGGAGGAGGTGGTGGCCGTGCTGGTGGGGGTGGGGGTGGAGGAGGTGGTGGCCGTGCTGGTGGGGGTGGGGGTGGAGGAGGTGGTGGCCGTGCTGGTGGGGGTGGAGGAGGTGGTGGTCGTGCTGGTGGGGGGTGGAGGTGGCGGAGGTGGTGGCCGTGCTGGTGGGGGGTGGAGGTGGCGGAGGTGGTGGCCGTGCTGGTGGGGGGTGGAGGTGGCGGAGGTGGTGGCCGTGCTGGTGGGGGTGGAGGAGGGAGGAGGTGGTGGCCGTGCTGGTGGGGGTGGGAGGAGGAGGAGGTGGTGGCCCTGCTGGCTGGTGGGGGTGGGGGTGGAGGAGGTGGTGGCCGTGCTGGTGGGGGGTGGGGGTGGGGAGGTGGAGGAGGTGGTGGCCGTGCTGGTGGGGGTGGGGGTGGGGGTGGAGGAGGTGGTGGCCGTGCTGGTGGGGGGTGGGGGTGGAGGAGGTGGTGGCCGTGCTGGTGGGGGGGGGGGGGGGGGGGGGGTGGGGGTGGAGGTGGAGGAGGTGGTGGCCGTGCTGGGGTGGGGGGGGGGAGGAGGAGGAGGTGGTGGCCGTGCTGGTGGGGGTGGAGGAGGAGGGAGGTGGTGGCCGTGCTGGTGGGGGTGGAGGTGGAGGAGGTGGTGGCCGTGCTGGTGGGGGTGGAGGTGGGGGAGGTGGTGGCCGTGCTGGGGGTGGGGGGAGGAGGAGGTGGTGGCCGTGCTGGTGGGGGTGGAGGTGGAGGAGGTGGTGGCCGTGCTGGTGGGGGTGGGGGTGGAGGGGGGGGGAGGAGGAGGAGGTGGTGGCCGTGCTGGTGGGGGTGGTGGTGAGAGAGGTGGTGGTGGGGGTGGTGGTGGGGGTGCTGGTGGGGGTGGGGGGAGGTGGTGGCCGTGCTGGTGGGGGGTGGAGGTGGAGGAGGTGGTGGCGTGCTGGTGCGGGTGGGGGTGGGGGTGGAGGAGGTGGTGGCCGTGCTGGTGGGGGTGGAGGTGGAGGAGGTGGTGGCCGTGCTGGTGGGGGTGGGAGGTGGAGGAGGTGGTGGCCGTGCTGGTGGGGGTGGGGGTGGGGGAGGTGGTGGCCATGCTGGTGGGGGTGGAGGTGGAGGAGGTGGTGGCCGTGCTGGTGGGGGTGGGGGTGGAGGAGGTGGTGGCCGTGCTGGTGGGGGTGGAGGTGGAGGAGGTGGTGGCCGTGCTGGTGGGGGTGGTGGTGAGAGGGGTGGTGGGGAGGTGGTGGCCGTGCTGGTGGGGGTGGAGGTGGAGGAGGTGGTGGCCGTGCTGGTGGGGGGGGGGGGGGGGTGGTGAGGAGAGGTGGTGGTCATGCTGGTGGGGGTGGAGGTGGGGGAGGTGGTGGCCGTGCTGGGGGTGGGGGTGGAGGAGGAGGAGGTGGTGGCCGTGCTGGTGGGGGGGGTGGAGGAGGTGGTGGCCGTGCTGGTGGGGGTGGAGGTGGAGGAGGTGGGGGTGGGGGTGGGGGGTGGAGGTGGTGGTCGTGCTGGTGGGGGTGGAGGTGGAGGAGGTGGTGGCCGTGGTGGTGGGGGGGGGTGGAGGAGGTGGTGGCCGTGCTGGTGGGGGTGGAGGTGGCGGAGGTGGTGGCCGTGCTGGTGGGGGTGGAGGGAGGAGGAGGTGGTGGCCGTGCTGGTGGGGGTGGAGGTGGCGGGAGGTGGTGGCCGTGCTGGTGGGGGTGGGAGGAGGAGGAGGTGGTGGCCGTGGGGTGGTGGGGGTGGGGGTGGAGGAGGTGGTGGCCGTGCTCGTGGGGGTGGAGGTGGAGGGGGGGGGCTGGAGGGGGTGGTGGGAGAGGTGGTGGCGTGCGGGTGGGGGTGGGGGTGGGGGAGGTGGTGGCCGTGGTGGTGGGGGTGGGGGTGGAGGAGGTGGTGGCCGTGGTGGGGGTGGAGGTGGAGGAGGTGGTGGCCGTGGTGGTGGGGTGGTGGGGGGGGGGGGTGGAGGGGGAGGTGGTGGCCGTGCTGGTGGGGGTGGAGGTGGCGGAGGTGGTGGTCGTGCTGGTGGGGGTGGAGGTGGCGGAGGTGGTGGCCGTGCTGGTGGGGGTGGGGGGGTGGGGGGAGGTGGTGGCCGTGCTGGGGGTGGGGGTGGGAGGAGGTGGTGGCCGTGGTGGGGGGGTGGGGGTGGGGGGTGGTGCGTGCTGGGGGGGTGGTGGTGAGGGGTGGTGGGGGGGGGGGGGGGGGGGGGGGTGGGGGTGGGGGTGGAGGAGGTGGTGGCCGTGCTGCTGGGGGGTGGAGGAGGAGGAGGTGGTGGCCGTGGTCGTGGGGGGGGTGGAGGTGGTGGAGGTGCTGGTAGGGGTGGTGGTGAGGGAGGTGGTGGGGGGGGGTGGCAGGGTGCTGGTGGTGGTGGGGGTGGAGGTGGGGGAGGTGGTGGCCGTGCTGGTGGGGGTGGAGGTGGCGGAGGTGGTGGTCGTGCTGGTCGGGGTGGAGGTGGAGGTGGTGGTCGTGGGGGGGGGGGGGTGGTGGCCGTGCTGGTGGGGGTGGAGGAGGAGGGGTGGTGGCCGTGCTGGTGGGGGTGGAGGTGGCGGAGGTGGTGGCCGTGCTGGTAGGGGTGGTGGTGAGAGAGGTGGTGGCCGTGCTGGTGGGGGTGGAGGTGGGGGAGGTGGTGGCCGTGCTGGTGGGGGTGGAGGTGGAGGAGGTTGTGGCTGTGCCGGTGGGGGTGGGGGGTGGCGGAGGTGGTGGCCGTGCTGGTAGGGCTGGTGGGGGGGGGGAGGTGGTGGTCGTGCTGGTGGGGGTGGGGGTGGGGGAGGTGGTGGCCGTGCTGGTGGGGGTGGAGGAGGAGGAGGTGGTGGCCGTGCTCGTGGGGGTGGAGGTGGAGGAGGTGGTGGCCGTGCTGGTGGGGGTGGAGGTGGCGGAGGTGGTGGTGGTGCTGGTCGGGGTGGAGGGAGGTGGTGGTGGTGCTGGTGGGGGTGGAGGTGGCGGAGGTGGTGGCCTGTGCTGGTGGGGGTGGAGGAGGAGGAGGTGGTGGCCGTGCTCGTGGGGGTGGAGGTGGCGGAGGTGGTGGCCGTGCTGGAAGGGCTGGTGGTGAGAGAGGTGGTGGTCGTGCTGGTGGGGGTAGGGGTGGGGGAGGTGGTGGCCGTGGTCGTGGGGGTGGGGGTGGAGGAGGTGGTGGCCATGCTGGTAGGGGTGGTGGTGAGAGAGGTGGTGGTCATGCTGGTGGGGGTGGAGGTGGGGGAGGTGGTGGGGGGGTGGGGGGGGGGGGGTGGGGGTGGGGAGGTGGTGGTCGTGCTGGTCGGGGTGGAGGTGGCGGAGGTGGTGGCCGTGCTGGTCGGGGTGGAGGAGGAGGTGGTGGTGGCCGTGCTGGTGGGGGTGGGGGTGGAGGAGGTGGTGGCCGTGGTGGTGGGGGGGGGGGGTGGAGGTGGTGGTGGCAGTGCTGGTAGGGGTGGTGGTGAGAGAGGTGGTGGTGGGGGAGGTGGTGGCCGTGCTGGTGGGGGTGGAGGTGGGGGGAGGTGGTGGCCGTGCTGGTGGGGGTGGGGGGGGAGGAGGTGGAGGTGGTGGCGTGCTGGTAGGGGTGGTGGTGGGAGAGGTGGTGGTCATGCTGGTGGGGGTGGGGGTCGGGGAGGTGGTGGCCGTGCTGGTGGGGGTGGGGGTGGAGGAGGTGGTGGCCGTGGTCGTGGGGGTGGAGGTGGAGGAGGTGGTGGCCGTGCTGGTGGGGGTGGTGGTGAGAGAGGTGGTGGCCGTGGTCGTGGGGGTGGTGGTGAGAGAGGTGGTGGTCGTGCTGGTAGGGCTGGTGGTGAGGGAGGTGGTGGCCGTGCTGGTGGGGGTGGAGGTGGGGGAGGTGGTGGCCGTGCTGGGTAGGGGGTGGTGAGAGAGGTGGGGGGTGGGGGGGTGGTGGTGGCGGAGGTGGTGGTCGTGCTGGTAGGGGTGGTGGTGAGAGAGATGGTGGTCATGCTGGTGGGGGGTGGGAGGAGGAGGAGGTGGTGGTCGTGCTGGTGGGGCTGGGGGTGAGAGGAGGTGGTGGCCGTGCTGGTTGGGGTGGTGGGGGGGGGAGGTGGTGGTGGCCGTGCTGGTAGGGGTGGTGGTGAGAGGAGGTGGTGGTGGGGCTGGTGGGGGTGGGGGGTGGGGGGGGTGGAGGGGGGGAGGTGGTGGCCATGCTTGTGGGGCTGGAGGAGGAGGAGGTGGTGGCAGTGCTGGTAGGGCTGGTGGTGAGAGAGATGGTGGTCATGCTGGTGGGGGTGGAGGTGGCGGAGGTGGTGGTCGTGCTGGTAGGGGTGGTGGTGAGAGAGAGATGGTGGTCATGCTGGTCGGGGTGGAGGTGGAGGAGGTGGTGGCCGTGCTGGTAGGGGTGGAGGAGGAGGAGGTGGTGGCCGTGCTGGTAGGGGTGGTGGTGAGAGAGGTGGTGGTCGTGCTGGTGGGGGTGGAGGTGAGGGAGGTGGTGGTCGTGCTGGTGGGGGTGGAGGTGAGGGAGGTGGTGGCCGTGCTGGTGGGGGTGGAGGAGGAGGAGGTGGTGGCCGTGCTGGTGGGGGTGGAGGAGGAGGAGGTGGTGGTCGTGCTGGTTGGGGTGGAGGAGGAGGAGGTGGTGGCAGTGCTGGTGGGGGTGGTGGTGGAGAGGTGGAGGGAGGGAGGGGGGGGTGGTGGCCGTGCTGGTGGGGGTGGAGGAGGAGGAGGTGGTGGCCGTGCTGGTAGGGGTGGTGGTGAGAGAGGTGGTGGTCATGCTGGTGGGGGTGGGGGTCGGGGAGGTGGTGGCCGTGCTGGTGGGGGTGGCGGTGGGGGAGGTGGTGGCCATGCTCGTGGGGGTGGAGGAGGAGGAGGTGGTGGCTGTGGTCGTGGGGGTGGAGGTGGAGGAGGTGGTGGCCGTGCTGGTTGGGGTGGAGGAGGAGGAGGTGGTGGCAGTGCTGGTAGGGGTGGTGGTGAGAGAGGTGGAGGTGAGGGAGGTGGTGGCCGTGCTGGTGGGGGTGGAGGAGGAGGAGGTGGTGGCCGTGCTGGTGGGGGTGGAGGAGGAGGAGGTGGTGGCCGTGCTGGTAGGGGTGGTGGTGAGAGAGGTGGTGGCCGTGCTGGTGGGGGTGGGAGTGGGTGAGGTGGTGGCCGTGCTGGTGGGGGTGGGGGTGGAGGAGGTGGTGGCCGTGCTGGTGGGGGTGGAGGAGGAGGAGGTGGTGGCCGTGGTCGTGGGGGTGGAGGTGGAGGAGGTTGTGGAGGTGCTGGTAGGGGTGGGGGTGGAGGAGGTGGTGGAGGTGCTGGTGGGGGTGGGGGTGGAGGAGGTGGTGGCCGTGCTGGTGGAGGTGGTGGTGGCGGAGGTGGTGGCCGTGCTGGTGGGGGTGGAGGTGGCGGAGGTGGTGGTCGTGCTGGTCGGGGTGGAGGTGGCGGAGGTGGTGGTCGTGCTGGTCGGGGTGGAGGAGGAGGAGGTGGTGGCCGTGCTGGTGGGGCTGGTGGTGAGAGAGGTGGTGGTCGTGCTGGTGGGGGTGGAGGTGAGGGAGGTGGTGGCCGTGCTGGTGGGGGTGGAGGAGGAGGAGGTGGTGGCCGTGGTGGTGGGGGTGGAGGAGGAGGAGGTGGTGGCCGTGGTCGTGGGGGTGGAGGAGGAGGAGGTGGTGGCCGTGGTGTGGGGGTGGGGGGGGAGGTGGTGGGGGGGGGGGGGGGGGGGGGTGGGAGTGGAGGAGGTCGTGGCCGTGCTGGTAGGGCTGGTGGTGAGAGAGGTCGTGGCCGTGCTGGTGGGGGTGGGGGTGGAGGAGGTGGTGGCCGTGGGGGGGGGTGGGGGTGGTGGTGGAGGAGGTGGTGGCCATGCTGGTGGGGGTGGAGGAGGAGGAGGTGGTGGCCGTGGTCGTGGGGGTGGAGGTGGAGAAGGTGGTGGCCGTGCTGGTAGGGGTGGTGGTGAGAGAGGTGGTGGTCATGCTGGTGGGGGTGGAGGTGGGGGAGGTGGTGGCCGTGCTGGTGGGGGTGGGGGTGGAGGAGGTTGTGGCCGTGCTCGTGGGGGTGGAGGTGGCGGAGGTGGTGGTCGTGCTGGTAGGGCTGGTGGTGAGAGAGATGGTGGTCATGCTGGTGGGGGTGGAGGTGAGGGAGGTGGTGGCCGTGCTGGTGGGGGTGGAGGAGGAGGAGGTGTTGGCCGTGCTCGTGGGGGTGGAGGTGGAGGAGGTGGTGGCCGTGCTGATGGGGGTGGAGGTGGCAGAGGTGGTGGCTGTGCTGGTGGGGGGTAGGGGTTGGGGAGGTGGTGGCCGTGCTGGTGGGGGTGGGGGGGGGGGGGTGGGGGTGGAGGAGGTGGTGGCCGTGCTGGTGGGGGTGGGGGTGGTGGTGGAGGTGGTGGCCGTGCTGGTGGGGGTGGAGGTGGCGGAGGTGGTGGCAGTGTGCTGGTAGGGGGTGGTGGTGGGGAGAGGTGGTGGGGGTGGGGGGGGAGGTGGTGGCCGTGCTGGTGGGGGGGTGGTGGGGGGGGAGGTGGTGGCCGTGCTGGTGGGGGTGGAGGGGAGGAGGTGGTGGGTGGAGGTGGAGGTGGTGGCCGTGCTGGTGGGGGTGGTGGTGGGGGGAGGTGGTGGTCATGCTGGTGGGGGTGGGGGTGGGGGAGGTGGTGGCCGTGCTGGTGGGGGGTGGGGGGGGGGGTGGTGGGTGGCGGTGGTCGTGGGGGTGGGGGTGGGGGTGGGGGAGGTGGTGGCCGTGCTGGTGGGGGTGGGGGTGGGGGAGGTGGTGGCCGTGCTGGTGGGGGGTGGAGGAGGGGGAGGTGGTGGCGTGCTGGTGGGGGGGGGGGGGGGAGGTGGTGGCCGTGCTGGGGGGGGGGGGGGGGAGGTGGTGGCCGTGCTGGTGGGGGTGGAGGTGGCGGAGGTGGTGGCCGTGCTGGTGGGGGTGGAGGTGGCGGAGGTGGTGGCCGTGCTGGTGGGGGTGGAGGTGAGAGGAGGTGGTGGCCGTGCTGGTGGGGGTGGAGGTGGCGGAGGTGGTGGCTGTGCTGGTGGGGGTGGAGGAGGAGGAGGTGGTGGCCGTGCTGGTGGGGGTGGAGGTGGCGGAGGTGGTGGCCGTGCTGGTGGGGGGTGGGGGTGGGGGAGGTGGTGGCCGTGCTGGTGGGGGTGGGGGGGGTGGGGGTGGAGGAGGAGGAGGTGGGCTGTGCTGGTGGGGGTGGAGGAGGAGGAGGTGGTGGCCGTGCTGGTGGGGGTGGAGGTGGGGGAGGTGGTGGCCGTGCTGGTGGGGGTGGAGGTGAGGGAGGTGGTGGCCGTGCTGGTGGGGGTGGGGGTGGAGGAGGTGGTGGCTGTGCTGGTGGGGGTGGGGGTGGGGGAGGTGGTGGCCGTGCTGGTGGGGGTGGAGGTGGAGGAGGTGGTGGCCGTGCTGGTGGGGGGGGGGGGGGGGTGGGGTGGGGGGAGGAGGTGGTGGCCGTGCTGGTGGGGGGTGGGGGGTGGAGGAGGTGGTGGCCGTGCTGGTGGGGGGGGGGGGTGGGGGGAGGTGGTGGCCGTGCTGGTGGGGGTGGAGGAGGAGGGAGGTGGTGGCCGTGCTGGTGGGGGGTGGGGGTGGAGGAGGTGGTGGCCGTGCTGGTGGGGGTGGGGGTGGAGGAGGTGGTGGCCGTGCTGGTGGGGGTGGAGGAGGAGGAGGTGGTGGCCGTGCTGGTGGGGGGTGGTGGTGGAGGAGGTGGTGGCCGTGCTGGTGGGGGGTGGGGGTGGAGGAGGTGGTGGCCGTGCTGGTGGGGGTGGAGGTGGAGGAGGTGGTGGCCGTGCTGGTGGGGGTGGGGGTGGAGGAGGTGGTGGCCGTGCTGGTGGGGGTGGGGGAGGAGGAGGTGGTGGCCGTGCTCGTGGGGGTGGGGGTGGAGGAGGTGGTGGCCGTGCTGGTGGGGGGTGGGGGGAGGAGGAGGTGGTGGCCGTGCTGGTGGGGGTGGGGGGGGAGGAGGTGGTGGCCGTGTGGTGGTGGGGGTGGTGGGGGTGGGGGAGGTGGTGGCCGTGCTGGTGGGGGTGGAGGTGGAGGGGGAGGTGGTGGCCGTGCTGGTGGGGGGTGGGGGGTGGGAGGAGGTGGTGGCCGTGCTGGTGGGGGTGGAGGTGGAGGAGGTGGTGGCCGTGCTCGTGGGGGTGGAGGTGGAGGGAGGTGGTGGCCGTGCTGGTGGGGGTGGGGGTGGAGGAGGTGGTGGCCGTGCTGGTGGGGGTGGGGGTGGGAGAGGTGGTGGCCGTGCTGGTGGGGGGTGGGGGTGGAGGAGGTGGTGGCCGTGGTGGGGGGGGTGGTGGAGGAGGAGGTGGTGGGGCCGTGCTGGTGGGGGTGGAGGTGGGGGGAGGTGGTGGCCGTGCTGGTGGGGGGTGGAGGAGGAGGAGGTGGTGGCCGTGCTGGTGGGGGGTGGAGGTGGCGGAGGTGGTGGCCGTGCTGGTGGGGGGTGGGGGTGGGGGGAGGTGGTGGCCGTGCTGGTGGGGGTGGAGGTGGGGGAGGTGGTGGCCGTGCTGGTGGGTGGGGTGGGTGGGGGAGGTGGTGGGGGTGGTGGTGGCCGTGGTGGTGGGGGTGGTGGTGAGAGAGGTGGTGGTCATGCTGGTGGGGGTGGGGGTGGAGGAGGTGGTGGCCGTGCTGGTGGGGGTGGAGGTGAGGGAGGTGGTGGCCGTGCTGGTGGGGGTGGAGGAGGAGGAGGTGGTGGTGGCCGTGCTGGTGGGGGTGGAGGAGGAGGTGGTGGTGGCCGTGCTGGTGGGGGTGGAGGAGGAGGAGGTGGTGGCCGTGCTGGTGGGGGTGGAGGAGGAGGAGGTGGTGGCCGTGCTGGTGGGGGTGGAGGTGGGGGAGGTGGTGGCCGTGCTGGTGGGGGTGGAGGAGGAGGAGGTGGTGGCCGTGCTGGTGGGGGTGGGGGTGGAGGAGGTGGTGGCCTTGCTGGTGGGGGTGGAGGTGGAGGGAGGTGGTGGCCGTGCTGGTGGGGGTGGGGTTGGAGGAGGAGGAGGTGGTGGCCGTGCTGGTGGGGGGTGGAGGTGGAGGAGGTGGTGGCCGTGCTGGTGGGGGGTGGGGGTGGGGGAGGTGGTGGTCGTGCTGGTGGGGGGTGGGGGTGGGGGAGGTGGTGGTCGTGCTGGTGGGGGGTGGAGGAGGCGGAGGTGGTGGCCGTGCTGGTGGGGGTGGGGGGAGGTGGTGGCCGTGCTGGTGGGGGTGGAGGTGGAGGGAGGTGGTGGCCGTGCTGGTGGGGGTGGGGGTGGGGGAGGTGGTGGCCGTGCTGGTGGGGGTGGGGGTGGGGGAGGTGGTGGTGGTGGCGTGGTGGTGGGGGTGGAGGAGGCGGAGGTGGTGGCCGTGCTGGTGGGGGGTGGGGGGGGGGAGGTGGTGGCCGTGCTGGTGGGGGTGGAGGTGAGGGAGGTGGTGGCCGTGCTGGTGGGGGTGGAGGTGGCGGAGGTGGTGGCCGTGCTGGTGGGGGTGGAGGTGGAGGAGGTGGTGGCCGTGCTGGTGGGGGTGGAGGTGGCAGAGGTGGTGGCCGTGCTGGTGGGGGTGGGGGTGGGGGAGGTGGTGGCCGTGCTGGTGGGGGTGGAGGTGGGGGAGGTGGTGGCCGTGCTGGTGGGGGTGGAGGTGGCGGAGGTGGTGGCCGTGCTGGTGGGGGGTGGGGGTGGAGGAGGTCGTGGCCGTGCTGGTGGGGGTGGAGGTGAGGGAGGTGGTGGCCGTGCTGGTGGGGGGGGGTGGGGGGAGGAGGAGGTGGTGGCCGTGCTGGTGGGGGTGGGGGTGGGGGAGGTGGTGGCCGTGCTGGTGGGGGTGGAGGTGGGGGAGGTGGTGGCCGTGCTGGTGGGGGTGGAGGTGGGGGAGGTGGTGGCGGAGGTGGTGGCCGTGGTGGTGGGGGTGGAGGTGAGGAGAGGTGGTGGCCGTGCTGGTGGGGGGTGGGGTGGGGGTGGGAGGTGGAGGCCGTGCTGGTGGGGTTGGAGGTGAGGGAGGTGGTGGCCGTGCTGGTCGGGGTGGGCGTTGGGGAGGTGGTGGCCGTACTGGTGGGCTGCAGTGTGGTCGACGTGGTTACTGTGGTTTTCTGTGTGTAGGTGGAAGAGGGGGGGCTGGTTGTTGTACAAATTTCACATCGTGGCCCCCCATACCCTGGGGGGCAGGTGCATTCCATTCCCACGGGCGTTCCCCCATTCTGGCAGGCCTGGCAGCTGTCCCTGCAGTCACAGCGCTCCCCACTGTAGCCCGGGGGACAGAAGCAGATGCGTCCAATGGCCGTTCCTCCGTTCTGGCAGGCCATCATGGGGTCGAAGCACTCACAGCTGGAGCCTGACCAGCCCCGTCGGCAGATACACTCGGTTCCATTGGGAGTTCCCCCGTTCTGGCAGATCACTGAAAGAAACAAGCCGCCACCGTGCTTTTTTCTATTTCTTGGACACAAATAATCCCTTCTCTGAGCTCGGTAGATGCTAGGAGTCCCGGCTCCCAGTCCACCCATCCCCAGCTCTCACCCACTAAACCCCATTTCTGTGCCAGAGCCGGGGAGAGAATCTAGGAGTCCTGACTCCCAGCCCCCCTGTTCTGAAGCACCAGCCCCCACTCCCCTCCCAGAGCCGGGGAGAGAACCCAGGAGTCCTGGCTCCCAGCCACTCTTTCTCCTCTGACCACTAGACCCAATTTCCCTCCCAGAGCCGGGGGGCAAACGCATCGTTCTCGATGTACTAGAGAGTGGATCTCATTTTCATGTTCTCTTGTGTTCCTTTTTTAACATGGCACAAACACGGCTCAGACACCCCCAGTACGCAGTGGCCGGTCAGTCCCTTGGGGAAGTTACACCAGGTCCAGGTCTGCAGATTTCTTCATTCAGCAAACAGAGGCACCTGGAAGCCTTGTGTAATAGTGGAGAAGTGCCACCACGATAGGGCAGTTATGTGAAAAATTACTGGTCAAGTCCCAGCTGGGGTCCACAGGCCACCACTTTGTGGGAGTCAATGGGGCTGGATCCCAGCCGTCAATGGGCTGTCAATGGATCCCAGGAGTCAATGGGCCGTCGCTCCATGGGCACCAATGGGGCGGGATGCCCAGTTGATGTAACTGGGCTGTGTCACTGGCTGAACTGATCGAAAGCAGCTGAGTAACCGGGTGACAATGTCCGGTTCGTGCCACTCACCTGCCGCACCCAGAATGCCGGTGGCATTGTCTGTGCCATCTCCTTTGGTGTTACCCACACTGTCCTCTCCCTTTGCCGGGTGCCCGGAGCTCCCAGCCAGGAACCTCTTGTCGAGAGGGAGGCTGTGTCCATCACCTGTTCCTTCATCTGCAGGAATCCCGGCCTCCCAGCCCAGGCCTGTCCTTTCTCCTCTTGTCCCTTTGGTTTCTGCCCTCCATCTGCCTCTGAGCGCTGCAGAGAAAGAGTGGCACAGGTCAATGTGCAGATCCCAGGCCGCGGCCCTAGTATCTAACATCCACCGGGGGTGGTCTCCCGAGAAGCACAGGGGTTTGGAATTGCTTCTCAGTCTGACTTGGCAGATGGGAAACGTAACGAACATCTTTATTAGCCCAGAGTAAAAAACAACCCACAGTACACAGGGTGCTTTTCTAAAACGTCTGCTGTAGCAGATGCAGAAAGCACTGGGGTTACCTTCTTTGACCTGTATTCTGCAGGTCCAACCTGATCAGGGGTCCCCAATGTGGTGCTCATGGGTGCAATGGCACCTGCCAGGGCAGTTGTACGCGCCTCCAGGACACCGCACCACCGAAAGGCCGCTGCCAAGCGCAACCACTGGAGAAACGCCCGCGGAAATGTCGTCGAGAAGCTTTGCCATTTGTCGATGGTATTTTGGCAGCGGGGTGTCTGGTGCCTGCCATAGTCTTCTGGGAATAGGAATATGCTATTCCCAGAGAAAGGTTGGGGACCACTTAACTAGATGATCACAACGGTCCCTGTTGGCCCTAGGAATTGCTGGTCCCACATTGGATTAAACTAATTTTTAAAGACAAGTTAGTTGGTTTTTCCCCTCTTGTGGTCACTACAGGGGCACAGCTAAAGTTCTCTGGGTGCCTGACCTGTGCATTTCCAGATTTTAACATGACTGGATTGCCTTTCAGTGTGGCCTTACCCCGGATTCCTTGGCTTTGCAGTGCTTGAGCTAGCTGGGAAACGCGTGAGGATCGCCACATCCTCCCTGAAGTACCTTTACTCTTTCATTACTAACACGCGCCCTCCACCTGACCTCCATGGTTTGTTTTTGTCTTGGCACTTCCTCGTTTGCCTGTTTGTTTTGCTAACGAGTTCAAATTTCCTATCCAAATGCTAAACAACAAACCCAATGATTTGAAGATGTCGTATCAACTACCAACCTTAACTCATTTTTACCTTTGAGTTCTTAAGGGTGATTCACTGGCCCATCAGAGGAGTGCAGAGCAGCTCCAGGGCACCCTCCAGTTGGCTTCAGGTTCCCACCTGCTTTGCACCCCTGAAATCGTGCAAAGCCGCCAAAAGTAAAATGATGAATCTGGCCCTTGAATTTGCAGTTGATCTATTGGTTCAGAGGGCTGTGTTAGCAAGGTCGGCCCTAGAGTTCATTCTCTGAGTCCCAATGGCTCTGTGCATTTAGGGCGAGCCCTGTGCTCCTGCCTCAGTTTCCCCAGCAGCACCACCTCAGTGCACAGTAGAGTCAGTCATGCTAGAAGGAGCTCTTCAAGCACCCATGCCCAAGCACATGACCTTTAAAGAGCCACAAGAGATTGTCCCAATCATCAGCCAATGAGAACTCTTGACACACATGGCCAGACTGATGACACCCAGCATGCAAATTATCTGTAGAAGAAGGGTGATGATTGGCTGAGTTAGCGCTCATGTCATCATGTCCCCACCTAGAGTTACATAAACTGTAGCCCCGACCCTACCTGTAGCCTATATTAGATCAGATGAGATGAAAATTACTAATTGCTTAATTGCAACATTGGCTCTTCAAGTCGTGCCGGCACACAACATTTGGATGACTTGTCCCATCAGCAGAGTTTGCAATCTCTGCATTTTGCCAAGGCTAAGATCGATCAGGATAAAGAACAGAGAGTGACACAAGCTGCTAAATGCCTGAAATGATCCAGTTCATAATTAATTAAACTAATTAACAGAATTACTGGTACCATCTCAGGAATGTCATCCTGCGCCCAAGCAGCGAGGGCTGGAGGTAGGGGGAACCCCTGCTGGACTTCTGATGTAAACAACGAGGCTGACACAAAACAAAACTCAGCTTTCGGTACAGTTTATCTGCCTTGATATCACCTTTATAAATCTTTTCGGCAGCTTTATGAGCCAGACCTTGAGCGAATGGAAATGTCCATGGGCATGCAGAGCATTCATGGACTTTGGTGGTGTTGTCTTGTAGGTGTTTGTGTTGTCATGGCTCCCCGGGGTGTGTGTGTGTGTGTGTGAGAGAGAGAGAGAGAAAACAGGAATCACTGGAGGGTGATTAATGCATGACCCCCCCAATGCCACGACCCAGCCTTTGATGCCTCGTCCATGAAGAAAGGGGCCTGGACTGGACAGACCAGGAGAAAACAAAGATCCCCAATCCCCAAGAATGGATGGATGGGGCGGGGGTAAGGAAATAGATAGATAGATAGATGTGTGTATGGGGAGAAATAGATAGAGGGGTGCGTATGGGGATAGATGGGTAGAGGGGTGCATGTGGGGATCTCTGTCCATTGTGACCGGGTCAGGCCAGATGGCTACAGGAGAGTGATAGCAGGCAGATATATTAGCCCCATGTTAAGTAGGTCCCTTTTCCCTTTGTAAGGTAACAGGGAAGGTTCCAGAACAATCAGGAACTTTCTGGAAACAATTAAAGCAGACAGGCTGATTAGAACACCTGCAGCCAATCAAGAAGCTGCCAGAATCAATTAAGACAGGCAGGCTAATCAGGGCACCTGAGTTTAAAAAGGAGCTCACTTCAGTTTGTGGTGTGCATGCGAGGAGCTGAGAGCAAGAGGTGCAAGAAGCTAAGAGTGAGAAGGCGTACTACTGGAAGACTGAGAAGTACAAGCATTATCAGATATCAGGAGGAAGATCCTGTGGAGAGGATAAAGAAGGTGTTGGGAGGAGGCCATGGGGAAGTAGCCCAGGGAGTTGTAGCTGTCACACAGCTGTTACAGGAGCTACTGTAGACAGCTGCAATCCACAGGGCCCTGGGCTGGAACCCGGAGTAGAGGGCGGGCCCGGGTTCCCCCCATCCCCCACAACTCCCTACTTGATACCGGAGGAGTTGACCTGGACTGTGGGTTCACAAAAACGGCCAAACTGAGGGCTGCCGTGACTCTCCGAGGCGAGCAAATCCGCCAATAAGCGCAAGAACCACCAAGGTAGAGGAGGAACTTTGTCACACCATCCATCCTCAGGAACCCCCTCTGTCTATCCATGGAATCTATCTATCCCTTCCTCCTTCCCTCTCCACAAACACCCTTCTATCTATCTATGATGAATGTGGACAGTTTTGGTAATATTTTTATGAACCCTATGTGTGCCTCAGTTTACCCTGCTCACCTTGTGCTCACAGTTGCCAACTTTCACGGGGTAAATAAGCACCCTGAGCTTCACAATAAGACAAAAATCAAGCTAGTCCCATTTCAAAACAAGGCCATAACAAGCCAATCCCTAAGAAACCCAACACTCTGTGACTAGATCCCCCTGGCATGCAGTCTGGGACTGTGGTGGGCCTGCTGTGCACCCCTGAGTCTCTCCCCTGCTTGCCCCTTGCCCCTGCTTGCCGGGAGTCAATCAAAAAAAAGAAGAAACAAGTTACAACAAGCCAAACAAGCAACAAGCTACAAGTCAAAAACTAGCCAACAAGCAACTCACAAGCCAGTTAAGCCAAAAACAAGCCCAATTTCTTCATTTTTTCATGGGTTTGACATGTCCACTTGTGCTGTGATGCACTGAGTGTAAATGGGAGTTAGGCACTCGGGGTGGCATGTACAGGACCAGATACAGCCACATAAATGAATGTCCTGTGGGTATCTGAATGGAAGGTTGACAATCAAGGACCCGCTGGCCAGGCCATTCACGTTGTGCCTCCGTGAGCCAAGAGCCAGCAACCGTGGCAAATGCCCCGCGGGGAAGCTGAGGGGAAAGGTGGAACCAAACAAGGCAGCCAGAGCCTGGTTCTGAGGTTGCTGTGGTGACCAGAAATCAGGGCATTGTTAATACTAGCCATTTGCACGACACCCTTTTCTAACAGGCTTTTAATGGTAGAATGTATTCCTTCCTCTGCTTCTAAAGGATACTTGTACTGGCACTGTGGAGGGGGGTCAAGTCCTCGGATTAAAACCTCAGTGTCAATTTTTCCACATTCTAATTTATTTTCGGCCCATACCCTGGGAAACTTTTCCGCCCATGGGTCCCTTTCTTCTGCTTGCCCTCATTCTCCACCAAATTTGTTACCTGCACAAAATTCTCTGTTACTCACACACTCAAGGGTTATGCCTTAAGCCCTAGGAACTGGGTAAAGGTGGGTGCCCTTGAGTGTGTGAGTAACAGAGAATTTGTGCAGGTAACAAGATGTGAACACATGGAGGGAGAGTGAGACAGGGCCAGAGCACACTGAGCTGGATTCCAGAAGGGCATGGCATCTGGGGGCTATGGCTGCAGCCAGCTTGGATGCAGTGTCTAATCCACGAGCTGTGCCCAGCTCCTCAGCCTGCCCAGCCTTGGCCAGTTTGGGCTATGGTTCCAGCTAGCTCACTTTGCACCGTGGTCTGTCCTTGCTGCATTGCCCAGAACACACACAGAACAACACAACTTCGCCCCCAGAGCCCTTTCTGTTTCGCTTCTGAGCTGGTGAAGTCAGCTGGTGCCAGGCACAGGCAGGGAGACGAGGTCACTCCATCACCTCTGCCTGGTGGGGCCATTGTTAGCTCTTTTGCAGGGGAAGAACCACACCCCTGTTCAAATCTGCCCCCATCAAAATTTCTATTGGCCCCCACGGCAGCAGAGGGACAGAGTGAGGCTGGCAGATGCAGAGCTGAGGGGGGAGGGCAGGTGGGGGTATGCAATAGTATTTTTGCCAGCAAGTTAAAGAAGTATGGGCTGGATGAATGGACTATAAGGTGGATAGAAAGCTGGCTAGATTGTCGGGCACAACGGGTAGTGATCAATGGCTCCATGTCTAGTTGGCAGCTGGTATCAAGTGGAGTGCTCCAGGGGTCGGTCCTGAGGCCGGTTTTGTTCAATATCTTCATAAATGATCTGGAGGATGGTGTGGATTGCCCCCTCAGCAAATTTGCGGATGATACTAAACTGGGAGGAGAGGTAGATACGCTGGAGGGTAGGGATAGGATACAGAGGGACCTAGACAAATTAGAGGATTGGGCCAAAAGAAATCTGATGAGGTTCAACAAGGACAAGTGCAGAGTCCTGCACTTAGGGTGAAAGAATCCAATACACCGCTACAGACTAGGGACCGAATGGCTCGGCAGCAATTCTGCATAAAAGGACCTAGGGGTGACAGTGGACAAGAAGCTGGATATGAGTCAGCAGTGTGCCCTTGTTGCCAAGAAGGCCAATGGCATTTTGGGATGTATAAGTAGGGGCATTGCCAGCTGATTGAGGGACATGATCATTCCCCTCTATTTGACATTGGTGAGGCCTCATCTGGAGTACTGTGTCCAGTTTTGGGCCCCACACTACAAGAAGGATGTGGAAAAATTGGAGAGAGTCCAGTGAAGGGCAAGAAAAATGATTAGGGGTCTGGAACACATGACTTATGAGGAGAGGCTGACGGAACTGGGATTGTTTTGTCTGCGGAAGAGAAGAATGAAGGGGGATTTGATAGCTGCTTTCAACTACCTGAAAGGGGGTTCCAAAGAGGATGGCTGTAGACTGTTCTCAGCGGTAGCAGATGACAGGACAAGGAGTAATGGTCTCAAGTTGCAGTGGGGGAGATTTAGGTTGGATATTAGGAAAAACTTTTTCACTAGGAGGGTGGTAAAACACTGGAATGCGTTACCTAGGGAGGTGGTGGAATCTCCTTCCCTAGAAGTTTTTAAGGTCAGGCTTGACAAAGCCCTGGCTGGGATGATTTAGTCGGGGATCGGTCCTGCTTTGAGCAGGGGGTTGGACTAGATGACCTCCTGAGGTCCCTTCCAACCCTGATATTCTATGATTCTATGATTCTAATGGGAGATGGCAGCTCTCACAAGGTTCACAGTGCTGTAAGCTGGACAAGCACCGGGATTTACTTTGATTGCAATGAAATAATGGGGAAACCAATGCAGGAGGCTGGAACATCAGAACTTGGCACTTTGAAATACCAGGAGTGCTCCCAGACAGTGACTGGAAACTAATAAACTTTTACTCCAATCCTCTATCTATTGTCTGAACACCAAAATCTGAGCAGCCCAGGAACAGAGCCCAGCAGAACATAGAGGGTAAAATCTCGTACAACGTTTGTGCTGCAAAAACTGAGCTCGACTGAGAAATTGGCTAGCAGAGCTTCCCCTTGAGCGAGCAAGAAAAGAATTTAGCATGAGCCACTGGTCGGAAGTTGAAGCAAGACAAAAAAACAAATCACACTGGGAATAAGATGTACTTTTTATCATGGAGGGTAATTATCCCTTGGGACAATTTACCAAGGGGCCTGGCGGATTCTCCATTCCTGGAAATCTTGAAATGGAGCTGGGCTGGTTTTGACACTGACCTGCTGTAGTGAAGTTAATTCAGCCTGGGGTCTCTTTGGCTTTATACTCTGTGATGTTTAGGGGTGCTGGGGCTCGGGCTGTGTTGGGAATCCCCCAGCTGCTCCTTCCTGGCCAAGACCATGAGCCACACCCCGCTCTCTGAGGAGAAGCCAAATGGTCTAGCACTCCAGGGTCCCACTCACCTGCCGAAGAGACGGAGGAGGAGAGGTGCGCGAGGAGCAGGGATACCCAAAGCGTCTTCATCCTTTGGGAGAAGAGTCTGGGGCATAATCCATAGACGCGGTAACAGAGGGAGGCCGTGCGCACCTTTCGAGGGCTGGGAGTGCACTGAACAGGGGGGCTGGAACCAGGGGCATTGGCTCCCGGGTGTGGGGTGGGACACTCGGCTTTCTCGGGCTGGGCAGAGGAATGCAGGAAATTGTTCTGGTAAATTTCAAAGGTCGATGAGGCTAATAAATCAGCAGCTGGGAGATTTCTTATCAGAGCCAGGAGTGGAGGGGGGTGGGGAATTAGACTGTCAGAGCCACAGCTGAAGTGAGAAGAGACACGTTCCCTGGGTGCATGGGGCCTGTTGAGAGCCCGTCCTTCGTGCCCAGCATGCCAAAGATCTCAGAGGAGAGGAATGCAGAGAGAGAGACCAGGAAACACTTTCTGGCTCTCAGGTGACACAAGAAGCTGGGGGAGTCCCTGTCACGGAAGGGTTTTTAGGGCAGGTTGGACAAACACCTGACACAGATGGTCTAGAGTTACTTGGCTCTGCCTCATTGCGGGGATCTGGACTGGATGCCCTCTCGAGGTCCCACCCAGCCCCACTTCTCTATGATTAGACAGACATTTGGATAGGCGGATAGAGGGTTGTGGTGATAGATAACTAGCTAGCTACATAGCTAGCGTGTATGGGGATAGATAGATAGGTAGAGAGATTAGAATCATAGAATATCAGGGTTGGAAGGGACCTTAGGAGGTCATCTAGTCCAACCCCCTGCTCAAAGCAGGACCAATCCCCAACTAAATCATCCCAGCCAGGGCTTTGTCAAGCCTGACCTTAAAAATATCTATGGAAGGAGGTTCCACCACCTCCCTAGGGAACCCATTCCAGTGTTTCACCACCCTTCTAGTGAAAAAGTTTTTCCTAATATCCAACCTAAACCTCCCCCACTGCAACTTGAGACCATTACTCCTCGTTCTGTCATCTGCTATCACTGAGAACAGTCTAGAGCCATCCTCTTTGGAACCCCCTTTCAGGTAGTTGAAAGCAGCTATCAAATCCCCCTTCATTCTTCTCTTCTGCGGACTAAACAATCCCAGTTCCCCCAGCCTCTCCTCATAAGTCATGTGCCCCAGCCCCCTAATCATTTTTCTTGCCCTTCGCTGGACTCTCTCCAATTTTTCCACATCCTTCTTGTAGTGTGGGGCCCAAAACTGGACACAGTACTCCAGATGAGGCCTCACCAATGTCAAATAGAGGGGAACGATCACATCCCTCAGTCTGCTAGCAATGCCCGTACTTATACATCCCAAAATGCCATTGGCCTTCTTGGCAACAAGGGCACACTGTTGACTCATATCCAGCTTCTTGTCCACTGTCACCCCTAGGTCCTTTTCCGCAGAACTGGTGCCTAGCTGTTCGGTCCCTAGTCTGTATCGGTGCATGGGATTCTCCTGTCCTAAGTGCAGGACTCTGCACTTGTCCTTGTTGAACCTCATCAGATTTCTTTTGGCCCAATCCTCTAATTTGTCTAGGTCCCTCTGTATCCTATCCCTACCCTCCAGCGTATCTACCTCTCCTCCCAGTTTAGTGTCCTCTGCAAACTTGCTGAGAGTGCAATCCACACCATCCTCCAGATCATTTATGAAGATATTGAACAAAACCGGCCCCAGGACCGACCCTTGGGGCACTCCACTTGACACCGGCTGCCAACTAGACATGGAGCCATTGATCACTATCCGTTGAGCCCGACAATCTAGCCAACTTTCTATCCACCTTATAGTCCATTCATCCAGCCCATACTTCTTTAACTTGCTGGCAAGAATACTGTGGGAGACAGTGTTAAAAGCTTTGCTAAAGTCAAGGAACAACACATCCACCGCTTTCCCCTCATCCACAGAGCCAGTTATCTCATCATAGAAGGCAATTAGATTAGTCAGGCATGACTTGCCCTTGGTGAATCCATGCTGACTGTTCCTGATCACTTTCCTGTCCTCTAAGTGCTTCAGAATTGATTCCTTGAGGACCTGCTCCATGATTTTTCCAGGGATTGAGGTGAGGCTGACTGGCCTCTAGTTCCCAGGATCCTCCTCCTTCCCTTTTTAAAAGATGGGCACTATATTAGCCTTTTTCCCATCGTCTGGGACTTCCCCCGATCGCCATGAGTTTTCAAAGATAATGGCCAATGGCTCTGCGATCACATCCGCCAATTCTTTTAGCACTCTCGGATGCAACGCATCTAATTAGATTAGATGATAATTACATCCAAGTAGATTACAGAGATCCAGGAAGCCCGAACTGCTCCGAAGCTGCCATGTTTCCTTTTGAAACTCCCAAAAGAACCAAAGAGGTGTTTAGCCGGCTGGCCTTTGACCTTCTCTAACACTGAATGCACTGGGAAGAGGAGCAGACTCACTGCACAGGCAGGAAGAGGTGTTGGAGCACGACAGGACCAAGCCCTTCACTGCCGGCAAGTCTGATGCACAGATCCTTCCTGGCCTGTGGGCTTATGGGGTGGGGGGGACACAGAGACCATGTCAGACCCTCCCTAAAATGCTCCTGTGTCCTAGCACCCACCAGGAACTCACCAGCAGGGAGGCTGCTGTTGTGTGGAGACCCCTGCTCTGTATCAGTCTCTCACATCCTCGGGGGCTGCGCCGGCTGGCTTCCTCGGGGGCTGCTCAGCTGAGACTGAGCTCGCTGGCACCGTGGGGCAGACACCGGGCAGTGGCTTTTTGTTCTGTCTGTACAGCTCCTAGCCCCATCTCGGCCACAACCTCGGGGGTGCTGAGGCTCTACCATAATGCATGTAATAAATAACATACAGCACCTACCTCAGCGGGATCCTGGGCCACGACAGGGTGTGTGTGTGTACTGACCTACCATAATGCATGTAATAAATAACATACAGCGTCTACTGCAGTGGGACCCTGGGCCACGACAGGGTGTGTGTGTATACTGAGCTACCACCATGGATGCGGGGGGTGGGGGTTTGTCGCTGAAATAACAACAACACTAATGCATCATCATCATTTTATTGCAGAATCAAGTCTTCCCATGCAAAGAGAGACTGAGCTCAAGAGCAGGACAAGGGACACGCCCTCCCCCTCACCCCAGACCCATCCCTGTGGGCTACTGATGGGACAGGCCACCTTAGCCGGGCTGGGGCAGGCGATGGCCAAGGGTGTTTTGGTCAGGGGGTGCTGCAGAGTTTAATTTGTAACGAAAGGCTTAGGCCCGGCACAAATTCAGCACCAGCTGGGTGGCCAGAGAGCTGTGGCTGCTGGCTGGGTGCCCAGCAGGGAAGGCAGCGTCTCTGCCAGCAGCAGCACAGAAGGACGGGTGGCATGGTATGGTAGGTGCTGCCTTCAGAGCGGGGTGGCTGGAGAACGGCGGCTGTTTGCCAGGAGCCCAGAGGTGCCGGGCTTTACAAATTAAGTACTGGGGCACTGTGGTGAAGAGGTAAGGAGTGGGGCATGCCTGGGACGTCAGGCTGTGTATGGGAGCTCAGGAAAATGGCAGAGGGAGGCAGTGGGGTCCAGGTGGGATGGGCGGGGAGGCAGTGAGGGTCAGGGGGATGGGTGGGAAGTCCAGGGAGGCAGTGGAGACCAGGGTAGATGGGTGGGGAACCCAGGGTTGCAGCAGGGGCCGGGGGGTTGGGTGGGGAAACCATAGAGGCAGTGGGAATCAGAGGAGATGTTTGGGGAGCCTGGAGAGGCAGTTGGGGCCAGGTGGGATGGATGGGGAGGCAATGGGGGCAGGGGAGATGTGTGAGGATCCTGGAGAGGCAGTGGGGGTTGGAGGGATGGGTGGGGAGGCCAGGGAGACAGTGGGAGCCAGGCAGGATGGGTATGGAGCTTGGGGAGGCAGCGGGCATTGCGGGATGGGTGGGGAGGCCACGCAGACCAGGGGAGATGTGTGGGGAGCCTGGGGAGGCAGTGGGGGCAGGGGGATGGGTTGGGAGGCAGCAGGGACCAGGAGCACCAAAATCCACATTCACCCAGGACACCATTTTCCCTAAGGCCAGCCCTTGTGCTGGGGGCAGAGGGGAAAATCGGCATCGTGCCTTTGGAGATTGTCTGGGGTGGCACTGCAGAACCAGCCTCTGGAACTGCTAAAGGTCACATCCCACTGGGAGCAGATGGCTGGGCAGTGTGAACGCCCCCCTCGAGGGGCCTGATGCTGAGCTCACATTCCCTTTCATACGCCGGGGAGAGCGCAGGGGGAACCAGCCTGATAAACCCCAGTGGAGTTACTCCTGATGTACACTGGGCAAACAAGAGGGGAATTGGCCCCAGTGGACTTACTTCTGATTTACACCATGTTGAAAGAGAGGGAAACTGGCACCAGAGACCCCAGCGGAGTTAATCCTGATTTACACAGGGGAAAGAGGAGAATCGGCTCCTCCAGGATCCCATCTCAGTAACTGTTCCAGGGTGCTGCGCGGGGCATCAGGCAGCGCCACCGACACCCCAGCAGCAGGGCCCTGGTGTCCCAGCCAGGGGAGCCGGGAGAGGGGGCTGGCTGGATGTGGAGGGTGGTCGCTGAGGAAGGAGGAAGCTCACAGCTGGGTAACAAGAGTCTCCGGCCTCTGGATGTGCACATGGAATGGCAAGAGATGGGGGTGGAGAATTGGGGGATAGCTCTTTTCTTAAGTGACAATGTTGGTGGGAAAGTTTTCAGCCCCAGCCACAGTGAGGGGGGACAGGTTTGGCGGGGGGAACTGGGGGATCTTTTTACTTTTCTTCAGTGAAAATGGTCAAGTGGGAATTTTCCTTTCCCATCCCTATTGAAATCCCCCTCTCCCCGCAAAAAGACGTCTTTGTTTTTGGTCCCAACCACAGTCTCACCTGGGCCAGCAACAGTGCTAAAATCACCTCTCTGCTCCTCCTCCTCCCCTGTTTGTGCATTCCAGGAGCACATCAGGAATGCATGTTCGGCTGATTATCTGCCTCCCCCACAAATCTTCCACAGAGTCCTGGCTTCCCAGAAGAGAGGGCCCTATTATGTCTATCTGGAGTAGTGGTCCCCAAACTTTTCTGGGTGGTGCCCTTGCCCGTGGAGCCAAACCATGGCTCCTGGGGGCGGGTGGGGGATGTGCACAGGGGTAAGGTGGCTGAGGCTGGGGCTGCAGCTGGGGGTGGGTTTGCAGCCAAGGCTGGAGCAGAGCAGAGCAGGGTAGGTTAGGCGGGCTATGCCGTGCTTCCCCAAATGTTTCTTTGCACCCCCATAGGGGGGCTGGCCCCACATTTTGGAGACCTCTGCTCTACAGGCTGCCCGAGCAAGGAGGTTTGGTGCTGGAGTGATGTCACCCCCAGATGGCTCCATCTCCCATTCGGAGAAGGGTGTGCTCTCAATGGGCCATTGGAGGCAACAGAAGGAGGGGACCAATATGGCCGAACCTACCGGGAGAGAGGTGTCCATGGATTCCATGTTAATCTTGAAGGAGCTGGTCCCATGCGAGCCTGCAGGCCAGGCAGAAGAGCAAGGTTAAGAAGGCGGAGGATTCAGCCAGCGGGCGCGTGGCTTTTGAGTGCTGAGGTTCTGGGACTGGCTGCCACGGTGCCCGGGACCACCTCCCTCAAAGGTGCCCTGGGGAGAATTGCTCCCTAGGCCCAGCCGGTCTTGGCACCGCCCCCCTAGCTGATGGTGCAGACCCAGTCTCCGTGGGCTGCTGTCCTTGGCCCAGGGGTTCCCACCAGCCGGTTTCACCCTGCCCAGGGCCAGCATTACCTTTCCAGGAGTCGGCTCCTTCGTTCCTGTAGCAGAATCTTCCAGCCGCATTCCACTCAAGGTCTTCGTCCTCGAACCACTGCTCAGTGTTGGCCTTCTCCAAATGCAGGCTGCAGAGGGAGCAGGTGGTGGAGGCTTCTACTGCCCCACCAGGCCCCCGAGGGCATCTGACCAGGCCTCCCTCTGCTCCTCCACTCCCTCCTTCTGCACACACCCATTGAGTCAAAGAGTCATTCTCGGACCAACCCGAACCCCACCATGGATACCTCGCAGCAAACCTACCTCAGTGGAGCCTCACAACCTGTCCTCTGCCCCAGGAAAGAACATTTATCCCCACTTTCAATAGGGGTAAATGGAGGTACAGACATGGGGAGTAAAGCTGGGCATAGAACCCAGGCATCCTGGCTCCTAGCCCCCCTGAATTAACTCTCTAGATCCCCCTCCCCTCCCCTCCCCTTCCAGAGCTAGAATAGAACTCAGGAGTCCTTGTTCCCAGTTCCCCTGCTCTAAGCCACCCGCCCCCACTCCCCTCCCAGAGCTGGGGAGGGAACCCAGGAGTCCTGGCACCCATTCCCATGCTCTAACCACAGGCTCACACCATCTCAGTTGAAGGCTGGGCCGACCCATGCGTTCCCGGCCCAGTTACCTGAACTGGGTTTTCATCCTCTTGGCTCTGAACAGAAAGACACCAAGGATGGCGCTCACGATCACCAGCACTGCGACGCCCACGCCCAGACCGATGCCCAATTTGCTGATGCGGGTGGCGCAGGGCTCTGTGGGGTACCAGTACAAGCCCATCTCAGAGCAGCTGTGGGGGAGACACAGGGGATGAGAACAGCCCCACCCTAGCCTCTTCCCCACCCTGCCCCATCCTGTCCCCAGAGCCACTTCCCTGGGATCCCCCGTCCAGTCTGGACTTTCCGTCTCCAGTGAGTGGAGTGGTCCTGCTGTCCTGGGTCCTTCTGCATGGATCCAAGTCATAAGAATGTAAGAACAGTCATCCTGGGCCAGACCAATGGTCCATCTAGCCCAGTATCCTGCCTACTGACAGTGGCCAGTGCCAGGTGCCCCGTGCCAGGTGCCCCAGAGGGAATGAACAGAACAGGGAATCATCCAGTGATCCGTCCCCTGTCACCCATCCCCAGCTTCTGGCAAACAGGGGCTAGGGACACCAACCCTGCCCATCCTGGCTAATAGCCATTGATGGACCTATCCTCCAGGAACGTATCTAGTTCTTTTTTAAACCTGTTATAGTTTTGGCCTTCACCACATCCTCTGGCAAGGAGTTCCACAGGTTGACTGTGCGTTGTGTGAAAAAATACTTCCTTCTGTTTGTTTTAAACCTGCTTCCTATTAATTTAATTTGGTGCCCCCTCATTCTTGTGTTATGAGGAGTAAATAACACCTCTTTATTTACTTTCTCCAAGTGATTTTATAGACCTCTATCATATCCCCCCTTAGCCGTCTCTTTTCCAAGCTGAACAGTCCCAGTCTTATTAATCTCTCCTCATACGGCAGCCATTCCAGACCCCTAATCATTTTTGTTTCCCTTTGCTGAATCTTTTCCAGTTCTGATATGTCTTTTTTGCACACAGTATTCAAGATGTGGGGATACCACGGATTTATAGAGAGGCAATATATTTTCTGTCTTATTATCTCTCCCTTTCCTAATGATTCCCAACATTCTGTTCACTTTTTTGGCTGCCGCTGCACATTGAGTGGATGTTTTCAGAGAACTCCCTACAATGACGCCAAGATCTCTTTTTCTACTCTGAAACCTTTCTTAGATGGTAACGGCTAATTTAGACCCCACCATTTTATACGTATAGTTGGGATTATGTTTTCCAATGTGCATTACTATGCATTTATCAACACTGAATTTCATCTGCCATTTTGTTGCCCAGTCGCCCAGTTCTGTGAGATCCTTTTGTAGCTCTTCCCAGTCTCCCTGGGACTTAACTATCCCAAGTCTGTGTTAGAGCTGGCAATCATGGGTTTTCCCATTTGAGAGCCACTTGAGCAAACACAAAACAGAGAAATAATTGTTTCAGGTCAAGCCAAAGCTGAGCTGGTCCCAAAGTTGTGGGAGTCAAATGGCAAAGCTGGAAAAACTTCCAAGCTGAGTGGATACAAAACGTCTTTGACCTGACCTGATGGTTTCGATTTCTCGGTCAGGTGTTTGTAACAAGCAAAGAAGAATGAGTGTCACTAGGCAGCCAGAGGAGGAGGAGTCTAGAATCATAGAATCATAGAATATCAGGGTTGGAAGGGACCCCAGAAGGTCATCTAGTCCAACCCCCTGCTCAAAGCAGGACCAATTCCCAGTTAAATCATCCCAGCCAGGGCTTTGTCAAGCCTGACCTTAAAAACCTCTAAGGAAGGAGATTCTACCACCTCCCTAGGTAACGCATTCCAGTGTTTCACCACCCTCTTAGTGAAAAAGTTTTTCCTAATATCCAATCTAAACCTCCCCCACTGCAACTTGAGACCATTACTCCTCGTTCTGTCATCTGCTACCATTGAGAACAGTCTAGAGCCATCCTCTTTGGAACCCCCTTTCAGGTAGTTGAAAGCAGCTATCAAATCCCCCCTCATTCTTCTCTTCTGCAGGCTAAACAATCCCAGCTCCCTCAGCCTCTCCTCATAACTCATGTGTTCCAGTCCCCTAATCATTTTTGTTGCCCTTCGCTGGACTCTCTCCAATTTATCCACATCCTTCTTGAAGTGTGGGGCCCAAAACTGGACACAGTACTCCAGATGAGGCCTCACCAATGTCGAATAGAGGGGAACGATCACGTCCCTCGATCTGCTCGCTATGCCCCTACTTATACATCCCAAAATGCCATTGGCTTTCTTGGCAACAAGGGCACACTGCTGACTCATATCCAGCTTCTCGTCCACTGTCACCCCTAGGTGCTTTTCCGCAGAACTGCTGCCTAGCCATTCGGTCCCTAGTCTGTAGCTGTGCATTGGGTTCTTCCGTCCTAAGTGCAGGACCCTGCACTTATCCTTATTGAACCACATCAGATTTCTTTTGGCCCAATCCTCCAATTTGTCTAGGTCCTTCTGTATCCTATCCCTCCCCTCCAGCGTATCTACCACTCCTCCCAGTTTAGTATCATCCGCAAATTTGCTGAGAGTGCAATCCACACCATCCTCCAGATCATTTATGAAGATATTGAACAAAACCGGCCCCAGGACCGACCCTTGGGGCACTCCACTTGATACCGGCTGCCAACTAGATATGGAGTCTATCTATATCTAGCAGAGGAGGGGACTGACCTGCCGGATCTCAGGGCATTCCCCCCCCTCGCCCTTGGGCTAGAAGTTAGCAGAAAGGCACCTCCTCCGGCTACTTTGCCAGTCCAGTCCTCCTTTGCTTGTGGTAAAGTGCCCAGAATGGAACCCAAAACACCTTGGAGTTGGGTCAAAATGAAACGGTTCATCCTGGCATTTCCAAAGCACTTGGGGTTTCTTGGGGGTTGGTCAAAACTATTACGTGAACTCGACACACGTGTGGCTGCATGTGTGCATCCATTTGCACATGCGTGTGCATGCATGTGTGTGTGCCTGTGTACATGTGTGTACACGCACAACTCACATGCACTGGGGGCCGGCTCGCGTCAGCTGGCACTGCCCGTGGTTGCAGTTAATGAAGCCAGGCGTGCTCTTGGTGCAGTTGGAGATGCAGGAGAGGCCGGACTTGGTGAGGTTAGGGAAGTAGAACTGCCCGTAGCCTTCGGGGGCTGCTTCCTGGCACTACTCTGCAGAGGTGAGAGAGGGGTCATGGGTCGCTGGCTGCAGAGGAAACACTGACACCCCCTCTGTCCCGCCCCAGCGCCGCTCCCCCACCGGGCAGCCGTGGGTCACTCACCGGTGCCGTTGAACGTTGGCATTGTCTCCTTAGAGACGTCAGCGGAGGAGGAGTTGAAACACATCTCGGCTGGAAGGCATGGGACAGGCAGTTGTTAGTGAGCCGATCCGGGGATGGCGGGGAGCAGGAGTGAGAGATGGGGACAGTCACCTCTCAGCTGCACACCACCCCCCCTTGCGGCCCCCGAAGCTCCCCAAGCTGCACGGGCCTTGCCATTGATTTGGGGGCTGGAAAGGCCTGGCCGATGACCTGGCCCCTGTCTAGGCCTGTGAAAGGCCGCCCTCAGAACATGGGGCTCGAGGTGCAGGGGAAGGGAGATAGCTGGTCTTTGCAACCTCGGGCCTGCCACAGAAATCACAGAGGTCAGCACTTCTCTCTCCATCCATTTCCCCGATCCCCACAGCCTCTGTGACACTGGACCCCATATTCTTCACTATCATATTAGTTTGATATTATTATGGCATAATTATGATGTATTTTATGCAAGCTAAGGCATGTGAGGTGTCATTGGAAAGGTTATGGTTTGCTGAATATGATTATCCTATTTGGATGCACATATCATTTTTGTATCCGAAGTTATGAATATTGACTCTGTATCTATTTCACATGTAACTATTCCTGGGCAATGCCCACTAGACAAAATGCTGTCAGTCTAGATGCCTGGCTGGGAAGCACCCATTCAGGTTAATGAGCCATTGGGAAGAAACAATAGGCCTTAGGAGAAGCTTATCTCCCATCTGGTGAGCCTTCCTGTGAACGCTCCAAACAGTCAGTGGGTGATGGCTGCTGTGTCTCTACAGGGACATGTGACTAGGTCACCTGGTCCTGGACTCCATCTTGGGATGTCAGTATTTTTCCACTGACTGGTGTGGGAAGCAAGCTTTGAAACAAAGGGTTCCTGCCATATGCAAAAGCTATCTAAGGCAGGGGAGTGACATCATCTTGATTCTTCACTGACTCCCCCACCCAAGAAGACTCTTAGAAACACGTGAAGCACAAAGACTGAACTGGGGGAAGTGCTGGACCCAGGCTAAAGGGATTTTTAGCCTGCGAATGGAACACCTGGGGATTCCAAGCTGTAAGCAAGTGCAGCTTGTCCCTTAAGAATTTGCAGCCTGTTTGTATCATCACTTAGGGTGAGAATCTGTTATTCATATCCCCTCTCTTTAGTATATTAAGCTTAGTTTGCATTTTTTGTTTATTTGCTAGGTAATCTGCTTTGATCTGTTTGACATCACTTATAATCACTTAAAATCTATCTTTTGTAGTTGATAGATTTGTTTTGCTTTATCTAAACCAGTGTGTGGGAATCATAACTCAGGGGGAGGAAGCTGTTGCATATTCCTCTCCACATTGAGGGAGGGGGCAAATTTTATGAGCTTACACTGTACAGTTCCCTGTGCAGCGCAAGATAATATAATTTTGGGTTTATACTCCAGAGGGGGTGTGTGCCTGAGGGGCTGATCAGAGAGCCTGCCTGCATATAACTGCAGCTGGGTATGTCCCTAACTGTATTTATGCTGGTGAAAGTGCAGGCTAGAGAGAGGGCTTTTCAGCTTGTCACAGCAGTATGGTGTATAAGGGAGCACAGGCTGGTGGGTCAGGAAGGCTCAGTGGTATCCCAGTTCCAGGTGGCACCCCAGGGGGAAACTCTCACAAGGGTGTATGGGAATGGATAGATAGATAGATAGATAGATAGATAGATAGATAGATAGATAGATAGGATGGAGAGAGAGAGAGGGTGTATGGGGATAGATAGAGAGATAGGTGGGTGGGGATAGATAGGTAGATAGATGGAGGAAGGGAGGGGGTACATGGGTTCCATGTCGCACCCCAGGGGGGAACCTGTCACAGCCCCCTCCATTCATCCCTTCCACCCCCTCCATCCATCCATCCACCCCATAAAAACTCCCCTCTTTCTCTCCACATACACCCTTTATCTAATCTATCTATCTATCTATCTATCCCCATACATCCACTCTATCTATCTATTTATCTGTCTATCTATCTGTGTACTAATGTGGTATCCAGCCGCCCTGGCAGAGATTGGGGGTGGAATGATGGAGAATCTTCCTCCCAAGACCATGGATCTGTCCCCTCTCCACCCAGCCTCATCTGCCCTCACCGCACAGAGACTCACAGGAGCTGCCATTGCAGTTCTGGTTCTCAGCCGCCATCTCTATCTGCGTCTTCAGCTGCCCAGCCACATTCTCAAAGGTTTTGTTGAGTTTCTCGGTGACAGGTAAAGCCAGGATGACAACGTGATCCACCACGACGCTGCCCTGCCTGAAGGAACAAACCCAGCATGGGTTGATGTGTCCCTCCTTCCTGGGGTGTTCGCTCAGGTGCCCCCCACAGAGCACATGGGATTTGATTGTCTCCCAGGCATAGACTACTGAAGCACCAATGCCCAATGAATTCGATTCATATATTTCGTGGGGTTTACAGATGGAAGGGAGCAGTGACTCATCTCGTCCAACCTTCTGTGTATTGCAGGCTGGAGAAACACACCAGCTTAATAACTTGTGTTTGGCTAAAGCACCTTCCAGAGAGGCATCCATCTGAAGACAGGAAGAGATGGAGAAGCCACCACTTCCCTTTTGCATTTGTTAACCACCCTCACTTGGAAAAGTTTTGCCTTATTTCTAAGTTGAATTTATCTGGCTTTAATGTGATTTTTGTGCTGCCTTTTGCTGTTAAATTAGAGAGCCCCTTACTACCTGGTGTCTGCTCCCCGTGGAAGTACTTAACCACCATAGGCATGCCTGGGTGTGGTGGGTAAGTACCTCTGGATCGTCCTACTGATAAAATAACCAGATCAAGCTCCAAGTCTCTCACTGTCAGCCCTTAAAATCATTTTTGTGGCTCTTCGCTGCATCCTCTCCAATTTTTCAAATTCCTTTTGAAAATGCGGACGCCAGAACTGGACCTAACGACACCCCCATCCCCAGAAGCGGGTGCTGATCAGCGTGAAAGTCAAAGGGACCCACCTTTCAACATCAACACTGATAACTGTTTCTGGACAGGGAAGGAAGGACAAGGATGGACAAATATTGTTCATACTGAACATACTGAACTGAAAGGTGCCACCATCTGCTGGGAAGGGGCTCTGAGCTCCAGTGACAATCACAAACCTCATGAAAGCCAACAGGCTGTTCCAACTACCCTCTTTAAGAGTCAGTGGAAGGAGCAATTACTCCCCATTATGGAGCAGAGAGAGCTACAAACAATGGAGGCTACTGCCCAAGGCACACTGCCACTAAGTCATGTGGGCTGAACAGGGAGTTTCCCTGGTTGCAAAGGCAAGAGCTAGGATATTGATTTTCAGGTTGTTAAGGCTGATTCCCCACTCTGGCACTTTGAGTAGGGTAGATGCTTCCACCACCCAAATGCAAAAAACCCCTTTGAACCCAGGAAGGAGCACTTGGGAATTCCTCCCTGTGGGTACCCTCAAGCCCTTTCACCCCCTGCCTCTGGGGAAGAGCTGAGAAAGAAAACAAAGGAAATGAGCTGTTGCCACCAACTAATTAAACAACCTATGCACAAACCTCTTAGGACACAAAAAACCCAATCCTGTTCTTAAAAAAGATAATTTTTTTTAAAAAACAAAAAGAAGGAAAATTCATCTGGGACTTAGAACGTTTTGCTAGATTTAAAAAGAGCAAATGTAATAATTAAGCCTCTGTCATAAATATAAAGGGAAGGGTAAACACCTTTAAAATCCCTCCTGGCCAGAGGAAAAACTCTTTCACCTATAAAGGGTTAAGAAGCTAGGATAACCTCGCTGGCACCTGACCAAAATGACCAATGAGGAGACAAGATACTTTCAAAAGCTGGAGGGGGGGGGGGAGAAACAAAGGTTCTCTCTGTCTGTGTGATGCTTTTGCCGGGGACAGAACAGGAATGGAGTCTTGGAACTTAGTAAGTAATCTAGCTAGATATGCGTTAGATTCTGTTTTGTTTAAAGAAAAGGAGTACTTGTGGCACCTTAGAGACTAACCAATTTATTTGAGCATGAGCTTTCGTGAGCTACAGCTCAGACTAACACGGCTGTTACTCTGAAACCTGTTTTGTTTAAATGGCTGGTAAAATAAGCTGTGCTGAATGGAATGGATATTCCTGGTTTTGTGTCTTTTTGTAACTTAAGGTTTTGCCTAGAGGCATTCTCTATGTTTTGAATCCGATTACCCTGTAAGGTATTTACCATCCTGATTTTACAGAGGTGATTCTTCTACTTTTTCTTCTATTAAAATTCTCCTCCTAAGAGACGCAGCCCAGAAAGGCTCTGAACCCTGGCGAACCATTGGTGCCAAAGAGCCAACTACATGACCAAAACACACACATACGCACGGCTACTGTGAGGGGAGTCTCCTTTAGGAGTCTCACAGGGGATGGGTGGTGGCTTGTGGGTGGAGATCAGGTTGTGGGTGGAGCTTTGGGGGATACTCACGTCAGTTTCAGGATCACCACGTCTTTGTACTCTGGGACGTTGCTGTAAACCAACTTCATCTGGAAGGGAATAGGGCGCACGTCACTGGCAGGGGCTGCTCTGAACTTCCACCCCCTCCAAGCCCTGAGATGGGACCTGGTGAGCCCAGGGGGCTGCTGAGGTCCCCAGCCATGGCATCAACCTGCTCCCACCTGGACACACCCCAGGAACCAGTGCTCAGCACTGGGAAAAACCCATTAAAGTCTATTCCCCTTTGGTGGGCTGGGATCATCCCATTCATCAGCATTGTGCCCAGTCCTAGCTCCTAACGTCTCCAGCAATGGGCCTCCCAGCCCTTCCCCTGGGAGATGATCCCCTGATCTCATACCTCTCTTGGGAAGTTCCCCCACATCCTCCCGACCATCCACCCCATTGGGGGCCTCTCTCTCACTAACTCCCCCTTCCCGGTCGCTCCTCTGGGTCCCACCTGCTGTTTGAAGTCCAAGGTAAAGTTTTTGTATTCTTGAGTTGTGTTGTCCTTCAGCTCAGGGGTGAATTTGTGGCTGGTGATCTGCAGCTTCATGTCCACTGTTACATTCACCTCTTCATTGGGGCGTTGGGTGGGGGGAAGAAACACGGTGAAAATCGGCAGAAACCATGGGAATGGCAGAGGGGAATTGCCTTCTCCCCTCAGGGGTCCTTGTTAGCTCTCCTGATGCGCACATCCCAGGATCCCCAGCATCCAGGGCCAGGGGAAAGGACTCTACTGCCCTTCAGAACCCATCACATCATTCGTTACCGAGCCAGAGGGGGCAAGCGAGGAGGGACACTTGTCTTTTCACTACCCGCCATCCTGCCACTGAAAGTGTTTCCTCACCGCCCTCCCCCAGTCCGGGAACAGAACCAGGTTGTCCCACCTGGCCAGGCCTGCTGGGATGGGACTCCAGGATTCAAGACCTCATATTCCCACGAGCCAGTCATGCTGCCTTACTGGGTTCTGGCTCACAGTCCCAGCCACACAACCCCCTCGGATGCTAATGATGTTCCTACATGGGACCAGCCATCCTGGATCCTGGCTCATGGGATGTCCCTGCTTGGGTTTCCAAGGATCTCATGCATTGCAGCATCATGGGGTGCTCAGAAAACCTTCCTTAGCATGAGAGACTCCAGGAGCTCAGTCTATTTAGCTTAACAAATCCTGTGCCTTCTCTTCTGGCTTGATTTCCTGACCTCCCCACCCAGCTTGACTCCTGTCCTCTGATTTGTGGTTCCTGACCTCCTGTTTGTCTCCTGCCTCTCACCCGCTGCTATCTTGATCCATCTGATTCTTGGCTCCTGCCCCTGACTGGGGCCACCCATGACCCGGCTGTGACACTTGGAGTCTATGTCTCACAGCTGGGTCATGGGTGGCCCCAGACAGGGACAGGAGTCTATGGAGTCTTGGGGGACAGTCTGGGCCCCAGACACAAGGATCGATTTACACAGGTTTTCATTACCGGCTTTGACCTCGATGACTTCTGTGACATACTCGCACTTAGGTCCCTGGAAACTGGATGTGTATTGGCATCCACCATTCATCCAGGTCCCCCCATTCTCACAGGTGTCCTGTGTAGTTGTACTTCGGGTGGTGGTGGTAATGGTATGTGGCGTGGTGGTCATGGTGGTTTTTTGAGATGTGGTATGTGGTGTGGTGGTATTCTGGGATGTGGTGGGAGGGGACACTGTGCTTGGGGGTGGTGCCAGCTGAGGTGGTAGGGGACCTGGTAGTGGTGGACCTGGAAGTGCTGCTGTCATTCAATTCACACCGGAGGCCGTAGTGTGCAGGTGGGCAGAGGCACTCAATTCCCGGGGGCCGGACGAGTTGCATCCGAGAGTGCTGAAGGAACTGGCGGCTGTGATTGCAGAGCCATTGGCCATTATCTTTGAAAACTCGTGGCGAACCGGGGAAGTCCCGGATGACTGGAAAAAGGCTAATGTAGTGCCAATCTTTAAAAAAGGGAAGAAGGAGGATCCTGGGAACTACAGGCCAGTCAGCCTCACTTCAGTCCCTGGAAAAATCATGGAGCAGGTCCTCAAAGAATTAATCCTGAAGCACTTGCATGAGAGGAAAGTGATCAGGAACAGCCAGCATGGATTCACCAAGGGAAGGTCATGCCTGACTAATCTAATCGCCTTCTATGATGAGATTACTGGTTCTGTGGATGAAGGGAAAGCAGTGGATGTATTGTTTCTTGACTTTAGCAAAGCTTTTGGCACTGTCTCCCACAGTATTCTTGTCAGCAAGTTAAGGAAGTATGGGCTGGATGAATGCACTACAAGGTGGGTAGAAAGCTGGCTAGATTGTCGGGCTCAACGGGTAGTTATCAATGGCTCCATGTCTAGTTGGCAGCCGGTATCAAGTGGAGTGCCCCAAGGGTCGGTCCTGGGGCCGGTTTTGTTCAATATCTTCATAAATGATCTGGAGGATGGTGTGGATTGCACTCTCAGCAAATTTGCGGATGATACTAAACTGGGAGGAGTGGTAGATACGCTGGAGGGCAGGGATAGGATACAGAGGGACCTAGACAAATGAGAGGATTGGGCCAAAAGAAATCTGATGAGGTTCTATAAGGATAAGTGCAGGGTCCTGCACTTAGGGCGGAAGAATCCAATGCACAGCTACAGACTAGGGACCGAATGGCTAGGCAGCAGTTCTGCGGAAAAGGACCTAGGGGTGACAGTGGACGAGAAGCTGGATATGAGTCAGCAGTGTGCCCTTGTTGCCAAGAAGGCCAATGGCATTTTGGGATGTATAAGTAGGGGCATAGCGAGCAGATCGAGGGACGTGATCGTTCCCCTCTATTCGACATTGGTGAGGCCTCATCTGGAGTACTGTGTCCAGTTTTGGGCCCCACACTTCAAGAAGGATGTGGATAAATTGGAGAGAGTCCAGCGAAGGGCAACAAAAATGATTAGGGGTCTGGAACACATGAGTTATGAGGAGAGGCTGAGGGAACTGGGATTGTTTAGCCTGCAGAAGAGAAGAATGAGGGGGGATTTGATAGCTGCTTTCAACTACCTGAAAGGGGGTTCCAAAGAGGATGGCTCTAGACTGTTCTCAATGGTATCAGATGACAGAACGAGGAGTAATGGTCTCAAGCTGCAGTGGGGGAGGTTTAGATTGGATATTAGGAAAAACTTTTTCACTAAGAGGGTGGTGAAACACTGGAATGCGTTACCTAGGGAGGTGGTAGAATCTCCTTCCTTAGAGGTTTTTAAGGTCAGGCTTGACAAAGCCCTGGCTGGGATGATTTAACTGGGAATTGGTCCTGCTTCGAGCAGCGGGTTGGACTAGATGACCTTCTGGGGTCCCTTCCAACCCTTATATTCTATGATTCTATGATTCCCACTGGAGTTCCCCCGTTCTGGCAGTCCCTGGAGGTGTTATAGGATTCACACAGGTTGCTGTAGAGTCCAGGTGGGCAAATGCATTTGGTACCAATGGGAGTGCTGCCATTCTGGCATGCCTTGCTGGTATCATGGGAGGCGCACATGAGGCCAGAGAAACCAGGGGCGCAGATGCACTCGATCCCATTGTATGTGCCGCCATTCTGGCAGGAAACTGAAAGGGACAAACATCCACCATGAGTGTTAGTGAGAGCCAGGAAAGTCTACCAATCCACACTAATCCCCACTCCCCTTCCAGAGCCAGGGGTAGAACACAGGAGTCCTGGCTTCCAGCCCCCCTTTTCTAACCTGCCAGTCTAACCCCACTCCCCTCCCAGAGCTGGGAACAGAACTGAGGTGTCCTGGCTCCCGGTCAATATTCCCTCTAATTTTTCCCATGCATGTGCAGAATGAATTTTGTTATGTGCACCAATATGGAGGTGATATGTGGTGGGGCTGAGGGGTTCAGAGTGTGGGAGGAGGCTCAGGGCTGGGGCAGGGGGTTGGGGTACGAGGGGGTGAGGGCTCTGGCTGGGGTACAGGCTCTGGGGTGGGGCTAGGGATCAGAGGCTTAGGGTGCAGGAGGGGGCTCAGAGCTGGGGCAATGGGTGGGAATGTGAGGGCTCCAGCTGGGGTGCAGGCTCTGGGATGGGGCTGGGGATGAGGGGTTTAGGGTGCAGGCAGTCCCAGGGCTTTGGCAGGGAGAGAGGATTCTCCCCAGCCCTCTCTACCCACAGTAGCGCCTGGGCTGGGACCGGGGAGAGGCACCTCTCCCCACCGCGGCAGCTCTGGGGCTGGGGGAGAGGCATCTCTCCCTGCTGCACCCTGAGCACTTTCATGGCTCTTGACAGGCTGCGGCATGGCCATACAGCTTAGAGGAAACTTAGCTCCTAGCTCCCCACTCTCTAACCCACCAGCCCCCCGCCCCTCCCCCAGAGCCAGGGTGGAACCCAGGCATCTGGCTCCCAGCCCTCCCTACTCCAACCCACCAGACCCCACTCCCCTTCCAGAGCCAGAGAGAGAACCCAGGAGTCCAGGCTTCCAGCCCCCCCTGCTCTAACTTCTAGGCCCCAGTCTCCTAGCCCCAGCTCAGATATTCTTAGGCTTGTCTGCACTAAAGATATTTGCCCCAGTGTAAGGTATTTGGGTCTTGTGTCAGTGAAGTGCATCTACATTAGGAATCTGCACCAATTCCACTACACTAATCCACTTATACCAGTGGAAATTTCTCTAGCATAGACAGGGTCTTAAACTCAGGGTTGGGATCTGATCTCAATCACAGCACTGTAACAGCTCTGAAATTGAAGAAATTCACTCCCGATTTTACCCCTGGTGTAAACAAAATTATTCAGCCCAGTGGGCCTCAGTGGGACCCTCAGCACCTGTGTAAAAGAGGCCAGAGAATTTCATCTTCGACTAATGCCCCTTCTACAGCAGCATCCAAACTGAGTTGGACAGTATCAAGATACAGTGACTCCACCAGTGCTCTTGGGAGATTGTTTCAATGGTTCATTAACCTCACTGTTAAATATTTGTGCCTAATAACCAGGTTGAATTTGTCTGGCTTGAACTGTAGGCGGCTAGAGAGCTGGTCAAAAAATTTCTGTAAAAACTGAACTTTTAGCCCCAGAAATGTTGCTTTTCATGCACATTTTTCACCAGCTCTCTTCCAAATGTTCATCAATGAGGAGTTCCTCTGGGTCGAAACAAGCTAGAGGTTAAAGTGGTTGCAGACTGGTAAAGGGTGACTCTATATTTACAAGAGTCAGATGCTACACTGGACGCACATCCGAGAAGAGTTGCAGCATATGCACAAGACACAGGAGACAAACTGCAATCTCACCAGGCTAGAGCTACTTCCATATTTACTCCATATTTACACATAGGAAGAGTTACCCCTGGGTCGCACCAGAACAGTTACACAAGACATGGCCTGTGCACATTGCAGACACAATACACAACAAGGCCATGTCGGCAATAGCCCCATCCAGAAGCTGAGTCGAGACTCACCTGGGGTAGTGCTGGGGTAGGCGGGGCAATTGGCAGGGATCGCACAGGTAGAGGTCACAGGACATGTGGTGCTAGGGATAGTCAATGGCCACGTGGATGGGATGCTCATTATGCAGATCAGGGAGGTGGTGGCTGTGCTGATGGGGGTGGAGGTCAAGGGGATGGGAGTTGTCCCAGTGGAGGAGGAGGTGCTGGTGTCTCGGCGGGTTGTGGTGGAGGTAAGCAGAGTGGTTGCTGTAGGATGTGGAGAAGTTGGCGTGGAGGTCAAGGGGACTGTGTGTGGACCAGTGGAGGTGGGGAGGCAGTGGCTGAGCTGGTCGGGGTAAGGGAGATAGTTGCCATGCTGGTGGGGGTGGAGGAGGAAGAGGAGGTGGTGGTTGCTGTGCTGGTGGGGGTCGAGGTGGCAGAGGTTTTGGTTGCGGTGGTGGGGGTGGAGGTGGAGGAGATGGTGATTGTACTGGTGGGGATGGAGGTCAAGGGGATGGTGCTTGTACCCGTGGAGGTGCGGAAGGTGGTGGCGGAGGTCGGGGAGGTGGTCGTTGTGCTGGTCGGGGTAGATGTGGAGGGGATGGTGGTTGTACCCATGGAGGTGAAGGAAATGGTGGATCTGGGGGTGGCGGTGGAGGTACTTTGGAGTGGTCATTGTAGAAGTGGATGTGGAGAAGCTGGTAGTTTTACCAGTGGAGGTGGCCGTCAAGGGGGTGGTGGGTGGACCAGTGGTGGTGGGGGAGGATGTGGCTGTAGGGATGGTTCTGGAGGAGGTTGTTGCTACAATGGTGGGGGTGGAAGCCAAGTAGGGGATGGTTGTACCTGTCGAGGTGCGGGAGGTGGTGGTGGGGTTAGAGGTGAAAGAGGTGATAACTGTGTTTGTGGTTGCGTAGGAGGTGGTGGCTGTGGGGGTGGGGGTGGAGGTCGGGGAGGTTGTGGCTGTTCTTCTGGGGTTGGAGGTGTGGGAGCTGGCGGCCATGGTGGTGGGGCTGTGGCTGGAGGAAGTCGTAGCTGTGCTGGTGGGGGTGGAGGTAAAGGGCATGATGGTTGTACCAGTGGAGGAAGTGGTGACTGTGCTGGTGGGGGTTGAGGTCCAGGGAGCCGTAATTTTATCTGTGGAGGTGCGGGAGGCGGTGGCTGAGCTGGTTAGGGAGGATGTCGGGTAGGTGGTGGCTGTGGTGGTCCGGGTAGATGTGGAGAGGATGGTGGTTGTACTATGGGAGTTGGAGGAAGTT